CTGGCTGTGGCCCTCAAAATTGACTTTTTGCCTTTTTGCTCCGATTTCGCTCCAATTCGCGCCCTTTCGTCCCAAATTGCATCCGAATGATTCCTACACATAGAAACACCATAATTTAGCACAAATCATCATATTAAACATCTCACATCATCAAAACAAGAGCAAAATGCGAGGCGATATATATCAAAATATACATACTTTAAACAAGAGCAAAATGCGAGACATATAATTCATTTAGAGAGCCAACACAATCTTTAGACTAACATTAATATAATTATTATTTAATTAAAGAAAGGGAATAAGAATGAACTCAATCGAATAAATCTTAATCAGTTACTCTTGCAAGACGCAAGAGGTCCAATTTGCTTAATTAATATTTAATTAGTCCTAATACCTAAAAGGCGTTTCAATATTTCATCAAATTCCTAAGGACCCTCTTCTGTTGACGATTTGTAAATGACACGATTCTAGTCTTATTTGACCGTCTCTTGTAGGAAGACTAATAGTAAGAAGTGAGTATTACTTTTCCTACATATTACATTTATTTGTATGTTAATAGCGCGATTGACTGATTGTGTATTGAATGTCTGCATCAGCTTGTGACATCCAATAGAAACTGAGAATTGTCTAGTCTAAGCTACAACTAGTATTTAGAACATAGACTGCTAAGTGGCTATTAATTATTATTTTTTTTGTCGAAAAAAACTATGGACAATATCGTATTTGTCATATTATATGAAGTGGAACAAGAAATTAGTTGTTATGACTAGGAATTAAGATGTGTGCCAGTTGCCATATCTCAGGTTCTCCGCCATGACAATGAATATTCAACGCATGTTTGTAACGAACTACAACGTCGAGGCCTCCCACTTTCTGATTCTCCGCAATAATAGTTTTAGGTCAATTGTTTACAGATTGTCCACAAAAACAGGTGCGCATGTTTCTACGATACAGCAACAAATTAGGCCATCCCTTCAACCTTTCTATAAAAACCTGCTTACTTCATTCTCAAATTCAAGCTTCAAACACAAGTAATTAAACAGCCCTCTCCTTTGATTCCTAATATTTTCTCAATCGCCTCCTAGCTCGCAAAGCTCAGACACTAGTCATGGGAGCCTGTGCGAGCAGACCTAAGGATTTGGACAAAGACTTGGCCCCTGCCCCTGCCCCTGCCCCTGCCGAGGAACATGCAGTCACCCCCAAGAAATCCGAGCAGGAAACTCCTGCTCCTCAGGTATGTATACAATCATCATTTGATCATTGTCATTTCACCCCCCAAAAAAAAAAATTGAACGTGTCTAGTTGCATTTTTTTGCTCTTAATTGTAGAAATGAAAGCGACACAAATAGAGCAGAATGGATATAGAAATCTATTGATCTACCGGACTCTAAAAAGGGATACCGCTTATTTTGAAACTAGAAACTTGATGGTTTTCAAGCGAAATTTAAAGCTAATTTTAACATAAGGACCAATGTCTTGTCAAATCCACTTCAGCACTGATCTTGACCAGCCTAAAATATATGGCATGTTGGAGAATCACCTACTTTTTTTATGACCGACATATCCGTTTGGGGCCGACCCTTAGGACCAACTACACCCTTCAAAACTCGGGAATAATAGCCCCCCATCTACCCTTCTCCACTTAAATATTAGGCTTGGATTGCATGAAGCATGGCGCAAACCTGAGACCTAAGTCACAAGTCCCTAACCTTTGCCCCTGGACTAAGCCCTAGAGCGGAGAAACACCGACTTTTGAGAACCAAAATGTGGCAATTAATATAGAAAGTGCCAAGAAATTAACATTATGTATCTTTTTCACTTTTTTGTTCGAAACCATTACTCAACATAACGTCCAAATTCATATATTTTGCCCCAACTAATTTAAATTTAGGGATGAGGCTTACTGCAATAATATTGTTTGAATTTTGTTTTTGCTATAAATAATCTCAGGAGAAGAAAGATGGGGAGGAGACTAAGAAAGAGGAGCCTTTGGTAGACGTCTCTGAACCAGCATCAGAAGCTCCCAAGATTGAGGAAGTTGCCAAAAACACCGCCGAGGAGGTGAAGGCAAAGGAGGAGGAGACAGCCAAACCAGCTGAGGAAGTCAAAGTTGAGGAGCCCAAAGAACAGCCAGCAGAGGGGAAGAAGGAGGTAGAAGACACCCCAAAAGCTGTTGCTCAATAAACAATTAAAAAATCCAAAACACAATTGTTACATCCCTTGTTAATTTTCTTTTGCATCTAATTTTGTCATAATATCATATTGGAATGTTTTGCTAGTTTTTTTTATTTGTTGTGGCTCATGTAGTAAAACAAAAGAAAAAATAAATAAAGAAGAGATTCCTATATGTTTGTCCTGTACTTCTTATTTGTCTATCTAATTTACTACTATGGATTCATAAATTTGACGAGTTATATTTAGTGACCCGGTCATACATTAAGCTTTCTGAGAAAACAATAATGTAACAACACATTGTCCTGTTTTTCGTATCCAAGTTAAAACTTGTTCCGTCACTGTATGTTCAAGAAAATTCACCGTATTTCCATCTACATAATTAGAGAAAGTCAGCAAACATAATGCTGACTTTCAGACCCTAAACAAGATCTTCTTAAGATTCAGCTACAGCTCAATGGACATGACGTTCAGAAGCTTTTGAAGTTTATAGGTTGTGAAATTGTCACGGAATCAATAATTCGTATTACTAGGTTCGCAATTAAGAGCCCGTTTAGACATAAATTTTTTTTTCCTTTTTCCAAAGATTTTTTTACCTTTTTTTGAAACCAGCGTTTGTTCATAAAATTTCCAATTTTCACTTGAAGATGCATTTTGGAAATTTTCGAAAACTTAAAAAATTCCAAAAAACTGTTTTTCAAAATTTTCGCTCAAACCACTCACAAAACTTCAAAAATAACCCAAACTGAAATTTATGTCCAAACACAACTCTAAATTTCAACGGTAAAGGGTCTGTATGTCCCTCTACTATTAACAATTGTTTAAAAATATCCTTCGTTATACTATCGGGTCAAAAAACTCCTTACCGTTACACTATTAAACAAAAATGCCCCTAAACAGACGGAATAGACACGTGTCACTCTCATATTTAATTGACCCATCCCCAATTTAAAATACTCAATACCTCTATTATCCGACCCGTTATCCGACCCTAAACCCCCTCCCCTAAAATAACCCCACGAGACACGACCCTCTTCTCTTCTCTCACCTTACACCAAAACCACCGGAAAACATGGCAGCTCACTGGAAAATTCCTCCTATAGTACTAACCTCCACTAAATTGCCCCCCCCCGGTCTCCCTTCTTCTCTTCTTCTTTTTCTTTGTGTTTCATCATCCAAACAGCAAAGCCACACCAAATAAGCGAACGGAACTGGTGAAACTCACAAGAAAAATCACAAAGCCAACACCACTACAAATCTTGGCCAAAACACCACTGCCTTACTTTTGTTATCTTTTTCAAAACAAAAAAAAGCACCGCCTTACCCCGTTCCTTCATTTTCTTCTACTTATTTTCTTTTTCTGCTTCTCAATTTGTGGGATCTAAAAAAATCAGAGGTTTTGCCATTTTCTGGACTTCGCCGGAAAATAAAACCTAGCCAGGTCCCACTGAAATTCTCGAATTTGCTTTTTTTTTTTCCTGTGACCTTTAGATAGCTGCTCATATTGATAAAAAAATCGATGACCTTAATTAGAAATCTGTTCATGTTAATAATAGTTGATAGAAATTACACCAAAAAATTATTTTACTAATTGCTGGATACATTGCCAGAAACCTGCTCGAAATTACACTAAAAAGATGCCCTTCTTTCCATGACCACCATACATATGAGGTATACTTCCCTAAATCACCCCTCTTAAAGATTCAATTTTTACAATTTGGGATTATATGAATGAGTATCTCGGTATTTTTGGATTTGTTGTGAAAAAGGTGAAAATGGTGAGCTGATTAAACCCAGATTTGGATTTGGATGTCAAGTATGTGGGTCGGAGCGGATTCGGTCCAATTTGGGTTATTAAAAAGAACCAGATGGCCTTGAGCCTTCAATCAACACCATGTATCTATTCTGTCTCTCTATGGGCATTTTTGTTTTAATAGTATAACGGTAAGGAGTTTTTTGACCCGATAGTATAACGAAAGACATTTTTAAACAACTGTTAATAGTAGAGGGACATATTAGACCCTTTGCCGAAATTTCAAATACCATTTTCACTTGGAAATCTTTTTCATCATCTTTTGGAATTTTACAATTCTCATGTCCAAACACCTACTAACTATTTATACATATTTAATGAATTTCATAACATAAATACGAAAAAGTGATCGGATTTGGCAAAACCCGCACCTAATAGGCTAGCTCCGTCTCTGATGACATTTTGTCCAGTATTCAATCAGAAAAGAAATCCCAAGGCAAGTATCACATGTTGCCAAAGTGCACAGTCCTCAGCAAACTGTAAAACCCAGCAATATGGACACTGAAATCAGATTGATGCATAAGTTTGCTTCTGGGCCTTGTACACACAGTTTGGAAGCTAGTTATGCTTGAAGTCGTTGATAAAGAGAATAATCTTATCCTTTGAACAATTAAAAATGGACAGCATTAAATTAGAACATCAAAATGGGACTAAATTGGTCCTAGTTACTTTCGGGTAGAGTGGAAGAAGGGGGAATTCTCGAACCAGAAAAGGATACGAAGGAGTACAGTTCGTTTGAAAAACTATAATCTGTTTATCCGGTGTTTAGATTTTTCAAAACCCCATGGGAATGCAGAAGAAAAATGATATCTCATATAAAATGGCATGAGCCAGCAACGTAAATTGAAAGTTAGATATAGTATTTGAAAATTAATTTCTTAAGATAACCGCCAGGTATTAGATTCCAGAGAAAGGAAATTGAGAAAACTGTTGAAAGGTCATACCATTTGGAGGTATTAGATGGAAAGAAACCAACATTTATCATTTCCTTGTGCGAAATAAAAGAGCAAGAGCATAAAATCAAAATTGCTGTAGCTGTAAGAATATTAGAAAAAATGATTACTGGAAACTGAAGAGAATTAAACACACATTAGCTAAGAAATTTTACGCAGCGACTGAACTAAATTATACTGTGGTTGATTGTCCACACTTTACAGTTTTGTCCCAATAATAAATCAGGTGAACAAAGCTAAAGATAGCTGGTAGGAACTACTCCTTATTGGGCTTGTCCACTGTAGTACTAATGTCATGGTTCGAAGGAATCGCAACCTCCTTAGTTGCTCCCTCTTCTTCTTTGTTGTCATCCTTCACAGCTAATAGTATAAGAGCTATCAGTAAGGGAAAACTAATGGTGGTTAGCGTCCAATTCGCGATAAGCTGGTTCAGGAATGTCACGTTACGTGAATCAACTTGCCAAGCAACGGCTCCTCCTGCACTTTGTATTCCTTTATAGAAGCCAGTATACCTGTGAATACAGATAGCGAATCCAATTTTAACCAACACATTGTGTTCCTTGTAACTTGTAAGCATTGACTAATGAATTTGTAGTATTAAGTACATGAAATTTTACCTGCTGAGAATCTCAGAATCATCGGCCAATGCTCCTATGACCCAATAAACCATGCTCTGAAACATGGCATCAAGTAATCCATAACTAAAATACAAGACAAATGGACCAGCAAATTTAGAACCATCCTTGAAATCCAGTAATACTATGTGATCAGGTACATCTTCGCAGGAATATTTAAGCTGTTTCGCGAGTCCTCCACCCCAAATTGCTGTCGAAAGCAGGCCAACAATAATAATACCAACCAATCCCCTAGCTCTCCTGCTCTTAAAGCTATAGTCCATTATAGACCCGATGAACACTGAACCGATCATCTGTGCACCCCAATAGAACACATTGTTCAAACCTCGAGTCCTCAAATTGAACAATACCCCGTTAACATTATTGAACTGATAAGTATAAAAAAAGTTACTAGCAACCGAGGCTGGAACCATCAACAACATTTTCCAATTCCCAAACAGTTTGAGTATTTGCAGCAATTCAACAGACACACTCGAGTACTTTATATTAGTACACTTGGAACCATCGTTCCTAGTAACCTTACTAGGATGCAAAATTGCTAAAGAAAGAAAGGTTCCAATTGCCATGAAAATCATGAATCCAATATAAGTACCATCATTAACAGAGGCCGCGGTAGTTCTATTATAATTCGATACAAAAGGAATAAGTCCGCCAATAACACCACCCATGTTAAAAATACTCCAAAACATAGAGATATATGTACCTTTCCTATCATGTGGCGGATACGACGTCATAATAGCTCCCTGAGCAGCCCATAAAAGGCCCGCGCCAATACCAAGAAGACCACCAGCAACTACGACGAAAGCCTGATGTTTATGGTGATTGTAGTAGAGAAAAGATCCCGCGTACAATATATAAGTCGAACATCCAACAAATAGAGTTTTTTGAGGACCTAATATGTTGTAAATGCCACCACCCAAAATTCCAAATATGGCAAAAGTTGTGTAGAGAGCAGTGTTAGCGTTGTTAGCTGCGGTGTGGTCTACTTGACCACCACCACCCATTCCAGAGAGTGCATTAAACATCCCTGGACAACAAAAACATACCAATCCAATCAAACCAACTTGAACCAGTGGTGAATTATACCTGAAAATTGAATTATTTGGAGGTGAATTAGGTAACCCTTTTCCAGTTTCTTCATCTCCGTAAGAACCCATAACGCTATGGTCTCGGATTACACGGATCAAATATAAGAAAAAAATGGGAGTATCGAATCTGGCAATATATAGGGACGATAAAACAGTGGTGGAATTAAATTGGGAACTTTGAAAGCAAGGATTGGATGAATATGAATTAAAGACTGGTTGTTTTGTTGACAATAAGTTTAAGATTCTCTTTTTATAGAGTGTCGTACTGGTTATTGCAGGTGTTTTTAAAAATTAAATTCATAACTGGGCCTCGGGACTATTGCATCGCTGACAATTGGATAAAATTGGTAAAATCGGTGCCTCATTGGCTACATAGGTAATTACGAGTAGTTTAACGTTTTATTACAAATGGTTTCCAATTATCACGGCTAGTTTGATTCCGATGTTTTACGATGACCTTAATTAACCCAGAAATTGAATATTCTAAACTTTTATGTTTTGTCGTTGAGTATCACGTTTGTCTCTGAATAAAATATAGTTAAGATATGTCATTTTCGTCGTTATCCTCCGGAGTTGTAGGTAAAGTGCACATTCCGCCGATATTTATCTTGTTAATTTAATGTTGGAAGCAGAAGCATGAAGTAACAGGCAACAATTCAAAAAGTTTTGCTGGCAAAAAGAAGATTAGATAGCAATAATTTATAAATGGTCAAAGGTTTTTTTTTAAGGTTCTTTTAAGGCAAGCCTGCAGGGACGGAGCTAGCACGCCAACATGTACGGGTTCGGTCAAACCCGATAGTTTTGTTAAATTCTATATTTATTTTTAAAATTTATTGAATAATTAAAATTTAATGACTTAAAATGATTAAAATTCCGAACTTATATGTGTATGGGTCCAAATTTGGCAACAACGACAGCTGTTAAGTAAGGTACGGAACGAGGTAGGGCTGCTTAGATTGGGCAGTTATTTACTCTTAACGGTTTGGCTTATTGGTTATCGACTTCTTAATGTATTAATCCGCTAGTCACCCAATAAGATTGATAGAAGACTGATCAGAAAAGGATGAAGATTTATAAGTGAAAAATAGAGCAGAGAAAGAGGCAATAGACGTGAAAAAGAAATTGCTTGACTGATTAACTACAATGCTGCAACTGCAGTCTTTTTATAACAGAAAAACATAGCAAACTTAAGCTAAAAATTAGGAACTACCCCACAAAGTTTTCTTGTAAAAACCAAAAAACCACGTTAAACTACTTCCTAAGGACTAGGACAAACCTAAAAAGTAGGAGTTTTATTTACTAACACCCTCCCTTAAACTGAAAGCTTTCGAGCTTCAGTTTATCTTCAATTTCTTGAGTTCTTCCATGGTGCAAAGTCCCAGCAATCTTCTCAAATTTTGGAAAGAAAGTAACTTGAGAGGTTTAGTGAAAATATCCGCCAACTGCTCTTCACTCTGGCAATATGTTAGCTCTATTGTTCCTTCATTGTTGAGATCTCGTAAGAAATAGTACTTCACGTCAATGTGTTTGCTTCTTCCATGTAGCACCGGATTCTTTGACAACTTGATGGCAGAGTTGTTGTCACAGAAAATTGTAGTTGCTTTTTCTTGTTTGAATTTTAGTTCTTCAAGAATTCTCCTTAACCAAACAGCTTGACAAGCACAAGTTGTAGCAGCAACAAATTCAGCTTCGGTACTTGACAAAGTGACAATTGATTGCTTCTTAGAAGACCACGAAACAGCCCCCGTACCTAACATAAAAAAATAACCTGAAGTGCTCCTTCTGTCGTCTTGATCTCCTGCATAATCACTGTCAGTAAAACCAATCAAATCAGATTTTTCACCCTTCTTGTAGAACAAAACAAAATCCTTAGTTCCCTGTAAGTAGCGAAGGATTCTCTTAGCAGCTAGCAGGTGAATTTCAGTTGGGCTCTCCATGTATCTGCTTATGAGACTTACAGCATACATGATGTCGGGCCTTGTAGCAGTAAGATACATCAAACTACCTACAATTTGCTTGTAGAATGTGCTGTCCACCTTCTTTCCGCTTCCAACTTTGCATAGCTTCAAGCTAAACTCAACTGGAGTGTTGGCGGGATTGCAATTATGCATCTTGAACCTGTCCAAAATTTCTCGTACATACTTCTTTTAGGAAACAAATATTCCATCATCAGATTGTACTACTTCTAATCCAAGAAAGTAATGCATCTTGCCAAGATCGGACATTTCAAACTCATCCATCATAGACTTCTTGAAATCGGCAAACATGATACTATCATTCCCAGTAAATATAAGATCATCGACATATAAACACACAATGAGTATTTTTCCAGATTCTCTAGTTTTAACAAAAAGAGAGTGTTCATATGGGCATTTCAGAAAACCAACTTTTAGAAAGTATGCCTCAATACGACTATACCAAGCTCGCGGCGCTTGTTTTAGTTCGTAAAGAGCCTTTTTCAACTTGTACACCTTATGCTCATTTCCAATTTTTATATAACCAGGAGGTTGTTCTACAAATACCTGTTCTTCCAAGTGCCCATACAAAAATGTCGATTTGACATCTAATTGGAAAATAGGCCAAGAATTCTGTGCCGCTAATGCAATCACCAATCTGATTGTATCGTGTCTTGCAACCGGAGCAAATAATTCTGTGTAGTCAATTCCATATTCTTGTTTGTATCCTTTAGCCACTAAGCGTGCCTTATACTTGTCAATTCACCATCTTCTTTCAGCTTTGTCTTGAATACCCACTTCACACCAATAGTTTTGTGCCCTTTTGGAAGATCTGATAGCTCCCAGGTGCCATTTCTTTCAATAGCATCAATTTCGTCATCCATAGCTTTCCTCCATTTATCCTCTTTGATAGTATTTTCAAAAGTTGTAGGATCACTATCTGCAAACAATGTAAAGTAGGAAAAATCATCTTCATTTACATCAATTCCTATTAGCTCATAATCTATCATCCACACGGGCCTTTTGCGAGCACGACGAAGAGACTCATCTGGTGCATCAATTTCTTCCAAAGCTAAGGGTGAAATTTCAGCCGCTGCTGGATTAGAATTTTCAGAATTTTCGGGTATTGTTGTTGCTTCTTCGACTTCATTATCAATTAAGATTGGAATAGACTGCTGCATATTCTAATCCCAAGAGTTTTCTTCATAAAAAATAACATCTCTGCTGGTCACAACCTTCTTTGTCAATGGATTGAACAACTTGTATGCCTTGGATGCGTCGCTAACACCAAGAAAGACATACTTCTCGCTTTTGTCATCAAGCTTCTTCCTCTTCTCGTCTGGGATATGTGCATAGCCAACGCAACCAAAAGTTTTAAAATGATCTACAGCAGGTTTCCTTCCACTCCAAGCCTCCTTTGGAGTCATGTTTTGAACATCAAATGTTGGACTTCTATTCAAAATATGAATACTCCAATTTACTACTTCTGGCCAGAATATCTTTGGAACTTTTCCTCGAGCTAGCAAGCTTTGAACCATGTTGAGAATGGTTCTATTCTTCCTCTCCGATACACCATTTTGTTATGGTATATATGCCGTTGTGAGCTCTTTTCGAATGCCATGAGTCCAACAAAATTCTTCAAATGCCTTAGAGCAATATTCGCCTCCACGGTCTATTCGGAAGCTCTTGATGGTCTTTCCTGTCTCATTCTCCACATTAGCTTTGAAGCTTTTAAATACATTAAAAGCCTCTATTTTTTCCCGCAGAAAATACACCCAAGTCTTTCTAGAATAATCGTCAATGAAGGTAATAAAATACCTTTTGCCTCCAATAGAGATTGGTCTTATTGGCCCACATATGTCAGAGTGAACCAACTCCAAAACATGCTTTGATCGCCATGATTTGCCTTTCGGGAATTGAGATCGGTGTTGTTTGCCAACAACAACACATTGTTCACAAATTTGAGAAGGAGCAGTAATTTGAGGAAGACCTGTGACCATGTTCTTCTCCTGAAGTATCTTCAATCCTCCAAAACTCAAATGACCATAACGAAAATGCCACAACCATGAGGGATTCTTCACTTCCGTCATCAAACAAGATTGAATACTATCAATCTTTATCGAAAATAATCTGTTGGAACTCATCTGAACTATTGCTATAGCTCCTCTCACGGGGTCATAAATTTACACTCACCCTTCTTAATAGTGATGACATAACCTTTCTCTTGCAACTGACCAACACTCAGTAAGTTGCTTTTCAAATCAGGAACATATAACACATTAGAGATTGTTTCCACAAAACCATTCTTGGTTTTGATCTTGATGTCACCTTTTCCCGTTGCATCCACAATAGAACAATCACCAAAACTAACTTTAGAACGGAAGCCTTCATTTAAGTAAGAAAAGCAAGACTTACTTCCAATCATGTGATTAGTGCAGCCTGTGTCTAAATACCAAACATCTCGCTCGGTTTCCTTCTCTACTTGAATTGCCATCAACAAGGTCTCACCTTCCTTGTTCTCCGCGTAATTGGACTTCTCTTCCTTTTCTTTGTCATTAGGCAGCCTAGATAGTATAACATTCAGATACGTAATGACCAAATTTATGACATCTATAGCACTCTATCTTGGATTTGTCATAATCTCGACCTCTGTCTTTGCCTTGAGATTGATCATTATTTGCTTTGAAATTCCTACAGGAATCTCTATCTCCATGATCTCTTCTTCTTCTGCCTCGACCTCTACCTCTACCCCTTCCTCTGGAATTGGAAGAAGAAATAAAAGTAGAAGCCTTCAAAGCCTGCTCATCAGAAGTTGAACTACGGTTCATCTTCTGCCCATGCACCAATAAGGAGCTCTGCAATTCGTCAAGTGATAAGACATCCATGTCTTTTGACTCCTCAATGGAGCAAACGACATAATCATATTTTAGTGTCAGAGAGTGCAATATCTTTTCCACTATTACGACGTTGCCCATGTTCTCACCATGGAATCGCATCTTGTTGCATATCTTCATGGTTCTAGCACAGTAGTTGGTTACGGATTCTCCTTCCTTCATCTGCAAGGTTTCAAAGTCCCTCCTCAAGGCTTGAAGCTGTGCTCGCTTCACTCTTGTAGAGCCTTGATACTTTTTCTTCATGGAATCCCATATATCCTTGGAAGTTTCTTTGCAAAAAATGGTTTCCAAGATGGGACGCTCAATAGCCTGAAAGAGATAATTTTTTGCCTTTAAATCTTTCAACTTTCTTGCTTCAAACTCAGTCTTTTGAGCATCTTTTCGCCTACTGCTGGTGCTTTAATGCTGTCTTCAACAATTGGCCAATACTCTTTTGACCGTAGGAAATTCTCCATCAGCATACTCCAGTGGTCA